AATAAAGCTTTACAGAGGCTTTTGTTGGACTTGATCTCGGACAATCATTGTATATACTACTGAGACGATTATTGTACTTAGCATGTACCGCGTTATATTCCTCAGCCTCCTTGCAGCCATACGTCTTGACGTTAAAAATGGTATTTGTTGTCACCCTGCCTGGCGCTCAGCATTAAATACATAAAATAACGGCTGCTTGGTATAGCAGGCACAAACCATCCCCGAAAAAACATTCCAGTCACTCTTCAGTGCTTTCCGCTTCTGAGGCTCAAATCAGTTGTTGTTAAAGTGTTCGCTCGTCACGCCGAAGACCCGGTTCGATTCCCCACATGGGTACAATGTGTGAAACCCATTCATGGTGTACCCCTCTGTTATGATACTGCTGGAATATTGCTAAAAGCGGCGTAAAACCATACTCACTCACTCAGTCAACGCATTTATAGACACTATAGTCCATTTGGCTTAAAATCGGACCAATGAATTGCAATCTTACTCGAAAACTACTACACATATAATACTCAATGAAACACTGATCATAATCAAAACGTCAGACCAACTCTGTGATTTTTTGCAGAATTTATGTCCTAAAAATATCAAAGTTGTTTAACAAACTATCATTAAAATTTTGACAACGTTCACTATTTGTTACGAGGGAGGACTGCAAAGAGAGGAACAGCCAGGTGTACGCGGTCGGTACAGGATGTAAGTGTGTGACGAATGAAGGGACTGTGAGCCTAGCGGAACCCGTTCTGTTCCAAATCATGCTGTTTACACACATTATGCTGACGTTTGTTTGGCAGGAGTGAAGATGTGGCTATTTACTTGGGATGAGTGAGTTTAGTTTACGCCGCACTCAGCAATATTCCAACTATTTGGTGGCGGTCTGTAAATAATCGAGTCTGGACCAGACACTCGAGTGATCAACAGCATGAGTATCGATCTGCGCAATTGGGAACCGATGACATGTGTCGCCTCTTACGACAAGCACGGGTTACTGAAGATCAATTCTAACCCGGACCTTCACTGGTATAAATAAAAAAGGAACTGACACTTATGGTGAAACTTCACACCCCAACAACCCCGACACCCCAACACAAAGATTCCTCCAATAGAGAAGGTCTTCACATCCATGTTTCACCATAACAATCATACCTCCACTTCACTCTCCTACCCAGAGTTCAATGCGGCAACCCAGCACATTTGCACCGTCCATTCAATATAATGTACAGATTTCTTTTACTCTTTTATTTTTGACGAGTCTGCACATCTAACTAAACGCCTTTAATAAAATAGTTTAGTTTCACTGAGAAAATATCCAAAAGCATGTAACACTATTTTGATTTGCGTAGCGATCCTTCGTTTACATAGGTTGTACGGCTCCACGTGCAGTCATCGAAGCCGTCGAAGAGCAAACGATGCAGCCAGTTTGATATCTAAATATGTACTGTCATAGAACTAACTGTCGCAGTTGTGGAAGAATATATATGTAACAATGTAAAACATTATGAAGAGAGCGCGGAAAAGCTTTCGTGAGTCCAGTCTCTTCTTGTTATGAATATGCGCGTTTGATTACAAACAAGAGAAAAGTCCGGTCACGTGATATGCAAATTAGCCTGTGGCAGTGATGTTATGTTAAAGTCATCGCTGTGCCGGAGTATGACCTCCACTTGTGCAAATTTCACTTCTTGCGCATGTGTATTGATGTCATTCACCATCCGGACTGCATTGATGACGTCATTTGATTGGTATTGTGACGTATGGTGGGAATGACATCATAGTAGAAACGACATCATAGGTGAAGACTTGTCCGGTTTTCTTGGTGGTGGTCGTGATCTTTGTAACTTTTAAATTCTTTTTCTTTGTACGAGGATGTATTCCATTTAATGGGTTCTCAATGTTTATACTGACACCCATACAAAAACCCAATATGACGTGGAATGAAACAGTTTAATTGTAGTATCTACATCAAAATGGCTGACAGAGTGAACGTCACCAGAGAGATTTCCGAAGGTGATCCCTAAGGCGCTTACAAGTGTTAACTGTCATTGGTCAACAGGTGTATCAATGATCATTAACATGTGTGAAACAGATACAGAGGTGAACTGTCACTTTATTAACGCACCGAGTCCTTAGGATGGATATGCATCTCTTTTCGTTTTGTTTACAAGGATGGTTCGTATATAGAGAATACTACACGAGGTCTCATTACATACGAATTATACGTAACGAGTGTCCTTTCTATGGTATAGCGAAAGCGAGGTCAGAAACCATAGGAAAGTCACGAGTTTCGTATAATTCGTATGTTATGAGACCGAGTGTAGTATTTAATTTATTACCCACGTCTTACATGCATTAAATTGACAAAATAGCGTATTTTTGTTATTGTTATGGTTTCAAACCGAAACCGGTTTCATAAAGAGGTTGCGAAGAATGTTGTTCTGTGGAACACTTTTTTGCATGACATCACACTTTAATGACGCCACTACGCCTTGCTCGTCTGCCCACTTGGTAACCGACGTAACGATGCATGTCAGTTGTCATCGCCTCGTACAGCCTCCTACATTGTAAACCAAAAGTCACTGTACTGTGTTCTTTAATCTGATTGGTTGAAATACGTGATCAAATGGTATTTGTTTCCAGGAAATTCCCTGAGTATTAATTCATACAAACACATCATTGTATTGTTCACATCATTGTATTGTTACGTCGTCAGCTGTGATGACGTTATTAAAATCATATTGTGACGTAAAGTCCGAATGACGTCACAAATCAGCAGTTCCAGATGCTTCCATGGGAGACAGCCGAAACGGCCGGCCGATGACATTTCACTGCTGTACCCGTACTCGATGTCAATGAGTGCAGACACAAAATACGTGTGTGGACCTATTTGGTTTACTTTTGTGTTTACAATGTCGATAAACATCATGTGTTGGCGAATTCATTTGGAACCGACGGCGTCAGCCGGAGGTTTCAAATGAAATATTCCCGTGCTTCAAATACTCAATAACACCCCGGAAATTCGCCAACACATGATGTTTATCTCCTAATTAAACTACTCCGTAGCACCCCATTTCTTAGTTTCCAGTTGCTTCACTCGGCTAACATCACTGGTGGAAACATTGCTTTTATGTTTTTCGACGCATATAATGTCTCAGTTCGACTCACAATTAAACAGAGATACGGCAACGTTCGCAATGTTTACATTCCCACAATGCATATAAGTTGTAGAATGAATGAATTCACGTGTTTGTTATGAATGAAAAAGTAGTTCTTTCACAACGTCATCTAATAAGCCATATTCCAGTTTTGTCGTTTAGAGCTATCTGCCCATTGTGACACGTGACCGCGGGCATGACAACACGTAAACAATAGCTGTCAGTGGCATTTTTAGAAGTTGAGACGGATAATATGGATAACAACTTCTTTATTTCGGGAAGTGCGACGTTTCGATACAGATTCTTGTACCGGTCTTGTACTCTTGCTTGACAACGGTACAAGAATCTGTATCGAAACGTCGCACTCACGAAATAAAGAAGTTGTTATCCTGAAAAATTGTTCCAATAGCTGTCAGGTTGACGTGCCGTTTGTTTTGTCGACAGCGCAGTGATGGCTTAGCAGAACATCACTGCCACAGGCTAATTTGCATATCATGTGACCGGACGTTTTTCTCTTGTTTGTAAACAAACGCGCATATTCATAATAAGAAGAGACTGGAATTACGCAAGCTTTTCGACGCGCTCTTCACAATGTTTTACATTGTTACATATATATTCTTCCACGACTGCGACAGTAACATTTATGACAGACATATTTTAGATAATTTAGAACAAACTTTATGGATATCAACTTCTTTTTATTCGTGAGTGCGACGTTTCGATACAGATTCTTGTACCGTTGTCAAGCATAATGGAGCATGAAGAAGGGGGAAGTATATATATACTGGATGTAGCAAAGAAAACAACATAAATTAACATAACTGGCTAGGCAGAAAGCTGACGAAGCCAGAGAGTAGACAAAGGACAGGCGTGGAAGCCAATGATGTACAAATAATAATGAGATCAACCGAGACCAAGGATACTTCATTCCATCCGCTTATGATGCACTCATCCACCAAGCCCAATCTACTGTATAAACTCTGCTGTATAAACATCTCATTATTATTTGTACATCACCTGAGATTCTAACGATTTGATTGGATAACCGATGACCCCTCAATTAGGTCACATTCTGACGTAACTATTTTTTCATTCATAACAAACACGTGAATTCATTCATTCTAAAACTTAAATGCATTGTTGGAATGTAGACATTGCGAACGTTGCCGTGTCGCTGTTTAATTGTGAGTCGAACTGAAACATTATATCCGTCGAAAAACATAAACCCAATGTTTCCACCAGTGATGTTAGCCGAATGAAGCAACTGCAAACCAAGAAACGAGGTGCTACGGAGTAGTTTACTGCAGGAGGCTTACGAGGCGATGACAACTGACATGCATCGTGACGTCGGTGACCAAGGCAGTGACGTCATTACAGTGTGACGTCATGCAAATATTGTACTACAGTACAAAACTCTTCCGCAACCTCTTTATGAAACCGGTTTCGGTTTGAAACCATAAAAATAACAAAAATACGCTATTTTGTCAATTTAATGCATGTAAGACGTGGGTAATAAATAAAATACCCCACTCGGTTTCATTACATACGAATTATACGAAACTGTTTGCTCTTTGCTCGCTTTTGCTCGCTTTTGCTCGGTCAGATACCATAGGAAGGACACTCGTTTCGTATAATTCGTATGTAATGAGACCGAGTGTAGTATTCTCTATGCATACGTTGACCACGTGGGTAATAAAACTACCTCTGATCCTCGGACTTATCCCCATGTATGCAAAAAACGCAAGGTTCAAGAGTAGAGGAGTTTCCCCTAGGAAGTAGTCCATCACCGCTGCGATATTGCTAGAATATTGCTAAAAGCTGCGTAAAACTAAACTCACTCACTCTACCTCACCTAAGTACAGATTGTCCGAATCCTTCTTTACACTACACGCTGCATGAAGTTCTCATGGCAACGCTGTTAAAAGCTTATGCGTCAACAATCAAAACCGTGAGGTGGAGTCCCGTCGGGGCAACATACGGGTATGTGATATCATGTCAAAGATAATTAATTCATCAAAGTTATAGCATTACAGAAGCTCGACTGCATGTCCCGACCTTTGTCACAAGGTATCAATGCGACAACCGTTAAACACCTACAACCTGACCGTCACCACTCACGCGATCACCTGACACGTGACATGTCTATTTGCGTTCAACTTCTCAACTGATATATCTGTAACAGGAAACACAGGTAATATTCATCTTGTGGAGACACACGCAGGTCATAGAGGATCACGTGCAAGGTATGACATTTCTAAGTCGGTCACATCCCACACGCATGGAAATACCATCTGGTTTGGATGTAGCCGACCAAGGGGATATTCTCTGGCCAGGGCCTTCTGTCTCAGTCATAGTGTACATTTGAGTGACAATGATACCCTAGCTACTGTCAGAGTAAACAACTCCAGTAAGTTTCTAGGGCTGGGACGGGTAGGAAAAAGTGGAATCGAGTACCCGCCATTACAGAGTTCTCTCCCTTTCCAGGTACTCGATTCCAAGAAATAGGACTCGATTCCAGCTGTACCCGACCCGAAATCGAGTACTCAAGTACTCAAGTACCCAAGTACCCAAATGCCCGTCCCAGCCCTATAAGTTTCTGTAAAACTTCATATATTCAAACGATATATTTGTTTCAATATATGTCCAAAGTACACCGAAATTTTATTCCCTTTGTCTATTAATCTATTCAGCAAACATTCGGTGTATCCCCTCTCATCGTGTATATTCAGCGGATAATTCCCTGAACATTCAGACCTGTTTTCGGTCTAAAGGTACGTAAAGACATATGAAACTCATGGGTCATACACAAATATATATCCTAAAAATTCATTTGGTTTTCGCGGAAAACCTGCATTACAGTTCTATAAAAACTAATATGGACCAGTCTTGTCCGTGGCAGTTGGGATTGGAGTATGTGAGCAGAGTGGAATGGGGCCGAAATTGATAATTGGTATTCTATGATCTATTAATGTGATGTTCACCACTCTTGTGCCTTTTACGACCAATGGAATCTGTTCCGGGAGATATTGGAGCCTGGTTGTTACCTGACGTTGACGTTCCGAATTACATTACATTCAACTTAACAATCCTATTGCAAAACATTCTCACATTCTCATACTGATATTGTGAAACTGTTCACTGACATAACGGTACGCCAAGGGCCATCGGAAAAACATTGTGAAAGGAAGCCTTGTGAAGAACAGACAAATAACTCACTTTTGGCATTGCAGTGTCATAAGAGGTGAACTAAAACCTACATCACAAATGTGTTAATATTTATGTTTTAGAAACGGATTTCGATATGGCATCTGTGACGCATTATGGAGAGGAAAACGCGAAAGACAAGATAAAGAGTCCACGATCACCCTTGACATGGTTAATGAGGAAAAGCTGGATATAGGTCGTATAAAAATGAATAAAATTATAATCAATCTTAAAATGTATATGTGTCGTACAATAAGAAATAAAAAAAAGTAAAATAATTTTATAAATACGTATTGAAAAGTCTTCAACACTTGACCTAACAACCTGAAGTTTCGTTTTCATTCATGTTAATATTTTACCAGCATTCGGCTTCTTTGTTCAAAGTGTTCATTGGACCATGCATGAATACTGGTATTCAAATTAATTATCTTCTTAATTTTATATTATCATTTTATTTAACCTTTTTTTATTCCAATACAGGGCCAAAGATGTATTTAGACTCTGCACGGGTTTACACTAAGTTTTGCCACGTGACTGCGGATAATGAGCTGGTCAACTCTCCATCAAGTGAACTCAGTATGAACACCATACGCTTTCGGCATTACTACGGCACGTGTGGTCAGCCCATCCCTTTGGTCACCCCTTTTGGGACCCTCCCTCCATTCGCTACTGGGAGACACTCATCAGGGTAGGTGTAAAACGACCAGTGTGGTCTGTCATGGAGATGGCAGTGCTGGAGGAGAGTCAAGTCGACCGGAAGTACTTGGCGTGCTATCAGCCTCGTTCCTGGGGCATCAATATATCTCGTTGTAATAAGCATAAAGGTATATGCACTAAAGTATACAAGGAAGGAGAATACGTCACTTGCTCCCCAAACACTATGACTGAGGAACCAGGCACACAGGCCAACCTCCACTATGGCGTTGTGTTGGATGTGGGGAGGGGGAGAGTCGCCTTTATTGATATTGACAAGGAGGTTGTGTTAGCCAAACTGGATGTGGAGTTCAGAGAAGTGCTTTACCCAATGTTCAGTGTTGGACCGTGGCCTGATTATTTCACTGTGGTTATGAAATTGGTCAGTGGAGAGGACATCACAATGACCAAAACAAAGAAATTACTGATTCGTTCTGCACTTACATGAGAAAAGCCGATCGTGAAAAATCATAATGAAACTTGCAGCCTTATGGATGCATGTAGCACCAAATACGGCCCCAGCAACTCATGCTTGTCGTGAGCGGCGATGTGATGGCTTGGGTGGTAAGGCTGGGTGACTTGGTTAATTGTGTGTCATCGTCCTTTCATCTGTTTTTTTTTTTATTTTTTTTTTCCAAAGCCATCGTCACATAACTGTAATATTTCTTGTGCGGCCTTACAAATTAAATAAACAAAACGTACAGTACAATTAATGTTATACGGACTGATTGCGAATGTAATGTTTCAAGAAGTGTTGGTCAAAGTAAGAGGCATCTCCCAGTAACAATTTGTGTTAGTCTTGTCCACTCCTCTTGCACCGCTGCACCCAGTTCAACCAACGTAGTAGGTGGCCTGTGACACGTTTTCCCGATCATTCCCTAGAAGTGCTCTATGAGAAAAGTCAGTGATGATGGCTGAACATTGCATTCTTTTGATGTCTTACTACTCGGGGTAAGGCGCACACTGGGCACGGGCATTAACGCTTGAAGCACAGCATGGCTCGCAACTATTGGCGCCAGAATATTGCCTCAGTTGTACTGTGTAGTAACCCTTCAATGAATAATATGCAGTTGCTTTGAGACATTAATATGAGCCCGCTCCACGTGACTACAGTGAGTGAGTATGGCCAGTATATATATAGTCTGTACAGGTCATGGTCAGCTCTCTGCCTTTGTACCTCGACAGTGAAGCTTACACTAATAATACCCCAGCCGCCCCTCGTTTAGCGGAGACCGCCTCCGTGGTGTAGTGGTTAGAGCGTCCGCCCGGAGAGCGGAAGGTCGCGGGTTCGATCCCCGACCGCGTCATACCAAAAGACGTTAAAATATGGTACTTGTTGGCGTCCGCCCGTCTGCGGAGCTCGGCATTAATGCGTCATACCAAAGACGTTAAAATATGGTACTTGCCTGGCGCTAGGCATTAATGTATACAACAAGGACTGGTCGGCTCGGAGTCAGTATAATGTGTCTGAGAGGGGTATTCATGCTTCACTGCGACATGGTATCTCAGTGGGCTAGCACTATAAAACCAGCTTCGGTCTGGGCTAGTACAAGCAGGCGCACATACACATACACACGCATGCACGTCGTCATATGAGCGAAATATTCGCAAGCACGACGTTAAACCCAATTTCACCTCACCTCACCTCATTTAGCGGAGATTTAATGCGGCTATTGAGCCAGTGAGTAAGCACGTTTTAGTTGAGACACCAGATAGTGGCTTCACACACTGTAACCGTATGGGGAATTGAACCCGGGTCTTCGACGTGACGAGTGAACGCTTTAACCACTGGGCTACCCCACCCACTAAATATGTAGTCAATCTTACTTCATTGATTGTCGCTCTTAAAGGCCTGGATGTGTCTCGGGTTGGCTGTAGAAGCCTGTGCAGGTGTGTCTCAAGTTAGTTGCACAACCCCATGCAAACTCCAGTACACCATGCTTGATTCATCATACAGACCTGGGTTAGAATTGCCCCATGCTTGTCGTACGAGGCGTCTAATGGGATTGGGCAGTCAGGCTCGCTGACTTGGTTGTATCACATCAGCGTAGATGCACATGACATTAATCACCGGATTGTCTGGTCCAGACTTGATTATTAACAGACTGTGTCATATAGCAGGACTATTGCTGAGTGCGGCGTTAAACAAACAAACAAACAAATCATAATATCTGATGAAATGCTACATCTGTAAGATTTAAAGCAGAGAGAGAGGGGCGGAGAGGGGAAAAAGAGAAATTGAATGGCAAAGGTTGGTGACTTGGTTGATGCATCTCAATTCGATGTAGATCGATGCTCATGATGTCACTTTCCGGTTGTATGTTCCCGACTCGGCTGCCCTGTAGTGAGACTATTGCTGATTGCGGCGTCGAAGAATTTCAAAACGTGTCATCGTACCTGATGATATCGATAATCAGGGGATCATGTATCCGGTCACTCAATAATCTAAATAATTACACGAGAGATATTTAAGAACACCGTAAATCTGTTACTGTCATTTATTTCAAAACTTTCTAAAATGTTGTACTGGGAGACTAGTTAAACGGACAGCCGTGTCCACACACTAGATTCTAACCGTCTTGTGTTTGTTGGGAATAACACTCGTTCAAGGTCAATAAACAATTACAACTAATTCCCTCGAATCAATTCCAATGAACAAGCCAAATAATGTGACTCCGAACTTCAGCTGTATAACAAATTAAATGAATTAATAATAATTCTTTTGACAAAAATACAAGATTTGTATAAAACCTTGCACTGCACCAATGAAGCCATTACCCAAATCTGAAAAAAAATCCATTGACATCTTGCAAAGTATTTGGCTGAACAAACTTTTAATTGGTGATAATTCTTGATGAATGAAAAATATGAAAATATAATTTTGCACTTCACCACTCCTATAAATATGGAGGGTCATCCCCAAATTTGAAAACAATCCATACAAATGTGTTCAAGTTATAGGTTGAACAGAAATTCCTCTGGTTTCTTTCACGTTGAAATGATGTAAATTGACTCTTTCAAACATTAGAAAATCGGAACCAAATTTTGGGATTCACCTCTCCTTTAAACACAGAAGCGGTTTTCCAAAATTTCCAGTACTATTTCAAGTTATTGGTTGAACAAACTGAGTTAAAATTTGTAAATAGCTGTAAATCTTGAAAAACTTAAAATACAATAATCGCCTTAATACAAAGAAGGTGGTCCCCAAATCTAACGTTTTTAAATTGTTGTTTACTATATGCGTTGCACCTCTCCTTTAGACTAAGAAGTTCCAAATATAAAAACAATCCAACGAATAGTTTCCAAGGTAGTGGTTGAACAAATATGTCTTCGAAACTCCATGGTATAACTATATATATTTATACTTCAGTATCGTTTTCACGATAAACATGCATCTTATGTCCCAAATGAAATACTGAAATGCTATTCAAACGGCGTCAAACCCAACTTACTTAAAAGGGATTATTTTTTGAAATATGGATTGGCTGTACACAACATTTCACCGATTTCTGATTTCAGTTTGTTGCACCAGTAATGCATGTATCTTCAATAGAATATTTTGATCTGACTTTAGAAACAAATAATGCTTATCGGTAGATCACTACATACTTGTGGAGACTGACCAAGTTACGAAGTTTATGTTTTCTTTAGCTGCATGCTGGGCTTTTCAAAGTTCTTGAAACAATCGGAAGAACAAAACATGCATATGAAGACTTACCAACTTACGTATATATACCATGCCATTAATACGAGATCCTCTGCATTACTGATGTGATATTATTTACTATTTATCATCCCAAACTGTGTTCCACAGGAGATATCGCTTGTGTGACAGTAGATTTTGTACAATGCCCTGACAATGCTATGACGTCATGTACTTGATGACGTCACAATGCTATGACATCACTGAACTGCAAGTCTAATGGCAGTACCATGTTCAGAGATGTACATTTTTCATTGAAAATTAATGAAGAGTGATTTTGGATGATAAATAGAATCTCACCCTCGTGTCTTCTGATATCAAATATATCAACACTCGTTGATAAAGTAAAAATATCCTCGGCAAGCTCGTGTTGATATAATTGATATCAGAAGACACTTGGGTGAGATTCTCTATATATTATTTTATATTGCACCCTCTGCTACTGTATGTAAAATGTACTATAGGCCTACGGCCTCTTCAGTACTGTAAATATAGATTGATTGATTGATTGACTTACCAACTTAAGAATTTTACGTTTTTTTCAACTGGCAAGCCGGGTTTTTCAACCTATGATTTCTCAAAGCTGCCCTCCAGCGAAATGTCTCTCCACACACCCCACAGACATACAGCTTATTCTTATGCATGCCATTAACGTGTGTATTCAAAGCTCTTTTGGACGAAAAATTAGTATTGCACATGGTGCATAAAAACGCTTTATGGATATCTGCTAGAAGCCCGCAGTTTCTCATATGATGCTGCAGTGTATGTTTGCGGGAGAAATGTTTAAAACAGTGTGGACACTGAAGGAAATAAGCAGTGCCAAGGAAAGACTCTTGGGCGTGGCTCTCCACGTGGTGTTGGTGCTCAGCAAAAGTGTTCCACTGCAGACCGCAATGGCGACATTCAAACTGTCCCCGGTAGCCGTGCTGCTGGATCTGATGGAGGTAGTAGTCGTGCTGGGTGGGGAAGGTTTGATTACAGCTGTCACACATGAAGACCCCGGTGTCCCCTGCTGTGTGTGATGTTGCTACATGAAGGTCAAGGTCGTGTTGGCTGATGGAGGAGAAGCTGCAGAAGTCACAGCAGAGGAGGTCCTGAGTCACATCTTCACTGTCTCGCTCTGGAATGAGAAATGTTCATGAATCATCATGGAAATATCCTGTATATCATTTATGTCCTTCGAAAAGACAAACAGTTTTATTTAAAATCAAAACAAATATAGATTTCAGAGTCTTACTCATACTATAGTCTTTCCGGTTTTGTACATTTTGGAATGACAAGTCTTTATGGATGATCAACTTCTGTATTGTATAACAACAACGTTTCGGTATAGATACCTATACCGTTTTCAAGCAATTCCTATTACGGACAACTTCTAGATTGCCTCCCAAACAGTTTTATATATTGTGTGTAGCACGACCAAACAATGATTCGTTTTTACAGCTGTGTTGTTCGCATTTGAAGGTGTAAATGACCCATGGAGGAAAATCGCTTCGTCTTAAAAGCCGAGCAAAAAATAGACATTTCTTCATTGAGAAGTTTATGTACTAAACTAACAAGACAAGTACCCGAGACCTCGAAAGAGGCGAAAAAACATTGCCAGTCACCTTCTCATAGTGACATTTCAAACCTCAACTTGATGTTCTTGACAATAGTAATATAGATATTACATGCTACCAACGGTCAAAGATAAACAACACCCATCACAAAAGTCTCTGCTGAAGCTGGACATACACAACCACTCCAACCACACCACCTCTGTCCACGAATCCAACCTTCGATTCCAGGCGATACCAGTGAATGCCAGGTGACCCCTGGAGCGAGTGTGTTCTCCTCTACCATTGGTATCCGCCCGGGAAGTCGACAAATGAAATTTCAGTTATCCCGGGAAGTCGACAAACTGAGTCCCGGTTTGTAGACAGGTGCTGTACCGCTTTTGTCGACTTCCCGGGTAGTGTTTATATATTAAGTAGTGATGTTTTGAGAGTAAATGATATACTCCAGTGAGTA